AAATTATGATTCCTAAATATTTATACTCGTTGACATTCTTAAATATCTTTCCTTCTAAACAGTATGGGAAGTTCAAGGGTGTTTTCTTATTCATCACTATCATAGCAACCGTTTTCTTTGCGTTAGTCACCACCTGCCACATATGACACCATTGTATTATATATTCAAGGGCTCTGTTCAGGATGATCTGGTCATTGCAGCAGGTTATGTCCTTATAGATGCTGCAATTATCTGCAAGGATTCTTACTGTTACATTGCACTTCTTGAACAGATCATTTATAAGAAGAATAAAAAGCATAGGAACTAAAATGGCTCCTTGTGGGACGCCAGACAGCACATCACCGTAATCTGAAGAGTGGCCTCAGTAGACATATTGGCGCTGTTCTGCAAGATAGCTTTCCATTCATTTGGTGATATTGTTATCGCCGAGGTAATAGGCAAGTTTCTGAAATATCTTTGGATGGGGAACCCGATCGAATGCTTTGGATTGATCTAAAAGTATCATATCGGTTTGGGCACATTTGTCTATTGTATGTGCTGATGATGGTACTAGTACAAACATTAGATAGTATATTTTTGTTTCGCCAATCTTGTGGTGGGAACATTATTATACTTCTCTGCTGGTGTCAAAAAATGACATCTCTTTTGAGCCCTTACCTATGTGACTGAACAGTCTGTTTTCTCTTAGTCTTCTTTGTTGGCACTCGGCAATAAGTTTCATAGCCCGGGAAATGATCCAGTTTGTAGAAAGGAAGCACCTCTACCTTTTTGTCAGTTTGATCATTTGTGTGTCTGTGTGTGTGTGTGTGCACGCACAGGTGCATGCGCGCATAGGTTTAACAGGTTGACTACTGTCATGAGTGGTGTGGGCTGTGTTGATAAGCCCTTTGGTTTTTAAGAAAGCATTCAAATTTATGCAGCCGTGGAGTCTAAACACATTTTTGACCTCTTTGCTACATTTTGAGAACTCCCAAGAAACAAAATATACTCTTTAAACCACGAAAAGTAGCCCCTTATTAACACTTAGTACCTCTGTGTGGGAGGACAAATGTGTTGCACCAGAAACGCCTTTATAGTGTTAAGTCATCGGGAGCTGGTTTTGCAGTCCTAAGTTGGCTTTTCTCTGTAAAAATATGTTTTCATCACATTTTAGCAGTCTGTCAGCTTGCAATGTAAAACAAAAGACATCTCACAAGATCATTCATCTTGTCCTGATGACCTTGAGCTGCTGGAGTACAAACACAATGCAAGGCACATCTGGTCGGCCTTGGCAGTAGATGAAAAGCCGCATGGCTCAATGTGTGAGTCAATGAAATAGGAGAACGCTTTTGGCTCTCGGCCAGTTCGGATGGTACAGCCAAAGCTACAGCTCTTTTGTATTATGTTCAAGTTGACTGCAAGTCAAGCCACATATGATATGCTGGTGAGAGGCATTACAGCTCCACTTACTAAAAGCGTCACTGTTGCAGTACCATGTGATTAGGCGACGGTTTAATGGCTGCTTCACCGACGCTTGGTCACTCAGTCTTGCCATCGATGTTGCATCAGCTATGCCTTTGTGCATGCACTTCACAGGGTAGATAAATCCGATACCCATCTTCTAGTATATGTAGGTAGACGGCAAGCTGCGATATCTCCAGTAAAGGTAAAACTGCCTGGTGAAACACCAGAGGTAATCCATGAATAATTCTCTCACTTTTCTTTTTGCTCCAGTCTGTATTTACATTCCTGTTGTGGCCTTATATGTTCGTACTACTATTTTTTCTTACTCCGGGTTCAGCGGGTCTCATTTTTGGTCACGCGTCCCCGTCATAGGATCGATCGTCCAACAAGTCAGATGAGGCGCTCGTTCAAATAACAATTTATTTACATGGTTATACTGAGATGTTGATCAAGTAGGAAAAAACAGTGACCTTTCGACAGAACTCGAGGACAAATGAACTGACAAACTCTCTGAACTAACCGACGAATGCTTTAAACGGTACACATGTCCTTCGTTTATAAAAGCAGCATTGCCAACCCTGGGTGTATTGTCCACTTGTGCAGTGAATGCAATGCTCGATGACTTGCCGCGCTACAATTGCCCTCCCCTTCAGCCAGTGTGATGCTCGGTGCTCTGTCGCGCTACCCCTCAAGGTGGGACCACATTTCGTAACACACTGGGGAGGAGGGAAGTCTCCAAACAGATGTCCCAAACAACACCAAACTTCGGTACATGGCCGCACAATCGCATTTTTGTGCGGGGACTTTGGCTGAGCCATAAGTACGCTTCTGGTGAAGGTCCGTTCAGGCTGCCCTCTCTCGCAGATAGCCCAACCAAGAAATTGGAGAAGGGGGGTTGATGAGCTAAAGAAAAGGGGGGGGGGGGGCACTGGTCGTTTGCCGGTCACGTGCAAGTTGTAGTGCTCTTGCGTGCTCTGTGAACAGCGGCAGAGCAAAAGCTTTGATGATGAACCTTTGCGCTATATTCCATTGTACCCTGGGGACCAGCACGGTAATCTTCCCCTTTCGCTCTGAACGTGTTTTGACCTCGGATTGAGCTGGGTTGGAGGCATGCCACGTGCATTTTTTCGTTCCAAGAATGCAGCGCTGAATCGTCGCCGCCCCGTAGTCACCCGGAGAGCGCCGATAGCGTTGTCAGTCATACCAGCTTGTATATTTGTATAATTGTACCCATCTTGTATGTTTTTTTACCAAATATGTACAGTATATTTAATCTTGTGTACATATTAATGTTTTTTCATGAAACAGCCTCTGTTGTTTGAGGGATGTGTGTCTAGAAAGGGGTGTGACACTCAGTGAGACATTCGTGCCTTTTTGCTGCTCTTCTAGACAGGACAAATGTGCAATTCCTTTTTTGTCATTGTTGGAAATAAATAAATAAATAACCAAACAGAGGGAGACGAGATTAGCATGGTATAGAGAGGAGTACCAAGTGCAGAAGCGAGCTACGTTTGAAGGTACTGTGGACACTGCCTGTGTGAATATTCTTCCGAAAACCAAGCAAATCACACCTTTCATTCGTGATAACTAAGTCTAGATGAGTTGAACCTTAGTCAACTTCTTGTTCAAAAACAATGTTATTTGAGAACAACATAACTATGTGTAGATTTTAATGCAAAAGCGTTTTATTCTTGGCTCCACCTAATGTGTACCTTGTATCATGCATGTCAACTAATCATAATAATGCTAAGTTTCTGGCATTTTCAAATAGTGGCTGGTCCTTTTGATCTATCTTTCCAGTTCACAGAAGCTCTAGCCAGATTACTGATCAGTGGTGAACTTCCTGCAATGATTTGCCTGTGATCGCCATGCCTGTGTTGAATGTTAAGCCTAAGCAGTGCGGCTGTTGTTGTTATCAATGCAAATCTATTTAGAACGGCCATTGGGGGAAATCATCTCGTTAGTCAAAGCATGAGCATTGTCCACAACTCGAATGACACTAGCTTGATGACTACCATTTAGCTTAGAAGGTGTGCAAATATCATGTTTGAGAAATCGAGCAGACATGTTACGGTGTTGGAAATGTTGGCTGGTGTTTTACAATAATTTGCAGGTGACGGTAACAGTGCCACAGTGTCATTAGGGTGGTGGTAACACCTTTACTACTACTAACACAGGCAAATTCATGGCCTGGGCCTAGGCCTCCCCTCGAGGAGGACCAGAGACCCTGTCTCCTAGCCGCCTCTCAGGCTTGCTGGTTGGTCCCACAGTTAATCTTGGAGGTTGGAGCTATGCAGTGTCATTGTTAAAATATGAATTTGCAAGCAGAAAAATTAGTCACTGGCTGTTGACAAATCTGTGTTTCGGCTTGGTTTGAGCCATGACATGGCCGTCACAAGTTGTATTGAGGGGTGCCCGAGTTCTTTCCGTGGTTTTGTTTTATCCAGTGAGCACAGAGGCCTACTTTGTGACAAAAAAAGCATCTCCGTCATCTCAGGAAGAATACAGTTCTTGACGAGGCAACCTGTGCATAAAGTGCAAACCTAGAGCTCCTATGTGGGTATGTGACTTAGCGTCATTACTGCATTGTTGAAATTCATGGTGAACAATTACTATAGCAGAGTGGCTAGTTCCCGACTACTTTCTTAACATTTGGTGCTGTGTGTGTGTCAGAAACAGAACCAAAGTACTAATTGCACAAGCATCTCTCTGCCCATCTTGGACACAACTTGTCCCAAGAGTTTAGAGAAAGTAAATTGCAAGAGAAATGGCCTAAGCATATATTGTGGACAGGCTTGGCAACTACAGTGTAAGCATGTAGTATGAAATGGATCCGTCTTAAACAGGAAGGCTAGTGTCAATAAGTGTCTTCCTTTAACAGATTGGCAGCTAACAGGTACTCAGCACTTTTGGTCAATATTTATTATGACCACTCTTAAATATATATTTTTGTACGCTGTAAATGATGAACTACAGTCCGGCCCCTTTACAAGAGACACTGATGTAATAGACATTTGTATAAGAGATGCAAGTGTACTTGCATTGAAATAGGGGTTGATAAGGAAATACATATGTGCTACCCTTCTTATAAGGGACACCTCGTACAGAAGGCAAGAATAGCTGTTAGGCGAATGTCTTTTATAAAGGGGTTCAACTGTATGTACCCGATTTTTTTGCTCTTGGGATTCAATGTTACGATCAAGCTTCTACCAGTTTTTCTTAATGTCCGAACTTGGGACTTGAATTTAGCATGAGATGTCCTGTCAAATTACTCATTTTTTGCATGTTTGCTCTGTAGCACTGCCCAATTAATATTATGAAAGTGAACTAACTTTCCCACCCATGGGTTATTTTGTGAAACACAAACATTTGTTAGAACTGAGAAGTGCACACCTCGGTTCACGGTTGGCTTGGTCTAAAATGGCTTCTCTCATGTCTTGTTTCTGATCTTTCCTTCTATGTATTCCTCAAAAGCTTTAACATTTATCGCATAGTAAGAATAGATATGTAAAAGATTTGCTCACTTAGCTCTTGCTTTTTGTTTGGCTTGTTTTAAGGCGTGGCAACTGCGATTTGGCCACCTGGTGGGATACGGGGCCAAGTACTACGCTTACCTCATGTCTCGTGCTGTTGCTGCATGGACGTGGCACGAACTGTTTCGTGAGGACCCCTTTTGTCGTACGGCAGGCGAGCAATACCGTCGCGAGCTGCTCTCACACGGAGGCGCTAAGCCTGCGCACCAGCTAGTCAGCGGTGAGCACCTCCATTTCACTGTGGCTTCTGATGATCTTGTCCCACAAAAAAGTGTTGGCACAGTGGCAGTTAATTTCCGTCATTGACCATGTCGTCATGGTTGCTCCAGATCTAGATGGGAAAAAAATGGTTTGCCAGGCTTGCAAAATCTCAATTACAAGCAGTGCTGGAGTGCTACCTTTTGATGCTTTTTTTTTTAGGACTGTGTTATACACTCAAACTTCATTATAATGCAGTGACACTTGCCACAAAAATACTTTCCTGTATGCAAAAATTTGTTGTAAGTATATATTTGTAGCACTGTATCTATAAGATAGCAGTTTTTTATTTGCTCCATGGCCGGGTTCGTTGTATTATGATTTGAGTGTAGCACACATGGCAACCCTATTAGGTTGATGGCACCTTTATTGATATTGTTGCAGAGCTATTGAATCAACATTAATCAATACCCTTGTTATAACCTGCTATGGTTAGTCGCATGGTTGCAAAGCAGTGGTGTAATTCTGCTGTTTGGCACAAGGTTTTTGGTTCTGCATGAGAGAGAGAGAGAGAGAGAGACAAAGAAAGTTAACCAGGTTGCACCGATTTGCTGACCACGAGCTGACGGCAAATATGGTTTCATGTCCAAAACTCTAAACATGGTTTCGAGTATTATGTGAGCGTCAATGTGATGTAATCGGTTTTGTGAAAATATTCATGCACCGTATTTATGTAGGTATAGCAAATCTTTAACTGCTAAGAGGATGGAAGCAAGGAAGAGGGCCACTATTTCGGTATGTCGGGAACTTTGGATTTAGCAAAGCCCTGTAACCCAGCACTCTTCTAATTAATGCACAAAGTTTGTTATTTGTGGAGACTTTGTTTTTTAGCTTTTTTTATTTTTTGAACACCTTAACTGCAGAAAAGCTTTAGTGCTTGATAGCATAGCCAATTGTACATTGCTTCTATAATTTTATTGATGCAACACTAGCCTTTGTTCTTTAATTTATTTTTTTTGTCTAAATTTCTCATTCTGTTTGCTCATCTGTTAGTGTCCTTGCTAAGCTTTGAGCAGCTGTGGCCAATAGCTGTCAGGCAACACACTGAGACGATGTCAGCACTTCAATGGTACGCACATTTTCTATTTCAGATTTTCTCTCGAAAGAGGTAACACCAGAAAGTCTAGCATCTGTGCTCATTGCGGACATCGATGCAGGCCTCACCTGAAGCCATCTCGTGTCTTCCCAGCCTTGCAGCAAACCTCTAGAGTGCATGAGCTTAAGAGTGCAGCAACTCTCTTATTCTTTTGAAGCTAGGAGTCATCCACAATTCACCATTTTCATCTGTGATTTCAGTCTATAATCTGTACAGTGAAACATAAATGAAAACAATCATACTGAATTCATATTTTGTTGGTTTATTTATTGCTATTTATTGAGTGCCCACAGTAATAGCACATTACTTTCCTGTGTGTAAGCTTCTTGTGATAATTACTCACATCTACTGCTTCAGTCATCATAAAAAGAAGAAAGAGAAAAAAAGAAAGCATAGATAATGTGCCTTTAACGTATAACTTGTCATTGCCCCATAAATATTGCCACGTTCCATTTCACAAGTTTTTGTTATTGTTCCGAAACACCACAGGATTCTCGGCACAAACCGCGCCTGCAGGTTTCGAGAAGGTTCCGGACTGTAGTAGATCATTTCGATAAGATCACGCCCACTGTGCGAACGGTACAGATTGTTCTGGAACCTACGCCACCACCAGCGATAACGCTAGAACATTCGACGGCAAGGGTATAAATGCCGACGCGCTTCGCCGCTTGTGAGTTGTTGATCGAAGGCCGCCGCTGCGTTCGCCGCTATCAGTCCGAGACTGCTATCTGTGCAAGACTGCTGCTGTAATTAGACTTTCCCTTTACCGGGCACAGGTTCGCCCAAATAAACAGTTAAATCCCAACACGAAGTTTCCTGTCTTTGGCCACGTCACGACCCCGTGACATCTGGTGGAGGTGCTGCTTCGTTCATGTACCGGACGCCCCCGTCAAGCCGTGAACCCAGCCCCCGTCGCGGAGAAGACACGGACGCCAACCAAGAGCAGCGAACGAGCCGCCGACAGCAAGGTCTCCCACCGGAGTACGGCCTTCTACAAGACAAGGCGCGGAAGACCAAGACCATGACCTCGACTGCAGCGACAATGACAACCGGAGCGTCCCAGCCCGCGATCGTCATTCATCAACCCAGGGAACCACCAACGTTCCATGGCTCATCGTTTGAAGACCCGGAAACCTGGCTAGAAACATACGACCGTGTGGCCGCCCTCAACCACTGGGACAACGAAGAAAAGCTCCGTCGTGTGTACTTCTACCTGGAAGACACCGCAAGGACCTGGCTAGAGAATCGGGAGTCCACGCTCCGAACGTGGGATGTCTTCTGCGGCGCATTTCTGCAAACGTTCGCAAGCGTCGCTCGCAAAGAGAGAGCCGCTGCTCTACTCGAGACCCGGGTTCAGCTACCAAATGAAAAGGTTGGAATTTTCACAGAGGAGATGACCCGCCTATTCCGTCACGCTGACCCTGACATGCCTGAGGAAAAGAAAGTTCGTTTCCTCATGCGAGGGGTCAAACAGGAGCTCTTCGCGGGACTAATGAGGAATCCACCGAACACCGTCCAAGAATTTGTATCCGAGGCGACCACCATCGAAAAAAACGCTGGACATGCGCACCAGACAGTATAATCGTCGCCTGACTCCAGAATGCGCTGCTGCTCAAGCCAGTGACTCCGACGACCTGCGTGAAACGATCCGAGCGATCGTGCGGGAAGAGCTGCGCAAACTGTTGCCTTCGGCGCAGCCTCAAGTGGATTCGATCGCCGACATTGTGCGAGAAGAAGTCCGGCAATCGCTTCGAATTCCCGAAACACCGCCGCCTAAGCCAGAAACTATGAGCTACGCCGCTGCAGTGCGCCACAACGCTCCTCCCCGTCCACGCCAAAACGCCGCCCCGTCACACTTCCGTCGCCAGACGCCACCGCCGCCACCACCCCAACCGACGTCCTACCGTTCCCCAGCGGGCCAGCGCAGTTCACTGAGGAAAACGGACGTTTGGCGTGCACCTGACAACCGCCCGCTCTGCTACCACTGCGGCGAGGCCGGGCACACATACCGCCGTTGCCAGTACCGACAGATGGGACTGCGTGGCTTCGCCGTCAATGCACCGCGTCCGCAGCCAGGAGATCGGCCACGTGACATCGCCGACTACCTGGCAGGAACTCAATGGACACCACGAAGTCCTTCCCGTTCGCCGTCGCCCAGCCGCCGCATGTCACCGCACCCCCGGCAGTACTCTGGCCCAACGCGGGGCCGGTCTCCAAGCCCGTATCCGGGAAACTAAGGGCAGCAACCGATGGAGGTGCGGTTGCTGTGCGACGAACTACCGAAGATCCTCCGACGACGACGCCGACGCGACGGAGCTTTTTGAACACAACACCAACCAGGCAAAGCCCTGAAGGCAAAAGCTCACTTACCGAAGGTGGCCGGACGACGCAACATGGAAGCAGCGGAACAAGCCGACGCAGCCGTGACCCGACGCCACGCCCTAACTGTAATGCGAGACGGCGAACTAGCGACCTCGACGTTCTTATCGACGGCCACAGTGTGACTGCTCTCGTCGATACTGGAGCCGACTATTCTGTCATCAGTGGGTCGTTCGCCGCGAAGTTAAAGAAAGTTAGGACAGCTTGGAAAGGCCCTGAAATCCGCACAGCCGGAGGTCATCTCGTAACGCCTGCAGGAATCTGCACAGCGAGAGTCACCATTAACGGCCGTATTTATCCTACAGACTTCGTAGTCCTACAGCGTTGCTCGAGAGATGTCATCCTTGGCATGGACTTCTTATGCCTCCATGGTGCTGTCATCAACCTAAAAACAAGGTCGATAACGTTATCCACAGAAGAAGCACTACCGCCGCGCACGCCGTCAGGACACCATGCCTTGAATGTGCTGGAAGAACAAGTCACCATTCCGCCTCGCTCAAGCATCATTATTTCAGTCGGCGCTCCTAAATCACCTGACTTGGAAGGCGTCGTTGAAGGCAGTCAGCATCTGTTGGTCACACGAAATATTTGCGTCGCAAGAGGAATTGCAGAGCTGCGGGGAGGCAAAGCAACGGTTATGCTCACGAATTTCAGCAATGAGTACAAACATGTGAACAAAAGAACAACGGTCGCATACATCGAAGAAATTGTCGAAGCCACCAGTGCTTTCGCCCTTGCCGATTCTGCGGAACCTGCTCAGAGGAACCAAGCCCCTCCCATAACTTTCGACGTCAATCCCAGACTTCCGAACGATAAGCAAGAACAGCTCAAGGCCCTGCTCCTGCAATACGAAGATTGCTTTTCGTCGTCATCGAAAATTCGGCAGACCCCAATCACGAAACATGGAATCATAACCGAAGAAAATGCCAGACCACTCCGTCAGAGTCCGTACAGGGTTTCGACGCGAGAACGTGAGGCAATGAAGAGACAAGTTGATGAAATGCTGCGAGATGACATTATCCAGCCGTCCAAGAGTCCGTGGGCATCCCCCGTGGTGTTAGTGAAGAAAAAGGATGGGACCCTACGTTTCTGCGTCGATTATCGCCGCCTGAACAAAATCACAAGAAAGGACGTGTATCCTCTCCCACGAATAGACGACGCACTTGATCGGCTCCATAACGCCAAGTACTTCTCGTCAATGGACCTCAAGACTGGCTATTGGCAAATCGATGTCGACGAAAGAGACCGAGAGAAGACGGCGTTTATAACACCGGACGGCCTCTTCGAGTTTAAGGTGATGCCCTTTGGCCTTTGCTCAGCGCCTGCAACTTTTCAACGCATTATGGATACAGTACTGGCAGGATTGAAGTGGCAGACTTGCCTTGTGTACTTGAACGACGTCGTCGTGTTTTCCTCGAGTTTCGACGAGCATCTTCGGCGCCTTGAAGCTGTACTTCAAGCCATCAAGACGTCCGGACTCACACTGAAGCCAGAAAAGTGCAGATTTGCGTATGAGGAGCTCTTGTTTCTGGGGCACGTTATCAGCAAGTCTGGAGTTCGTCCCGATCCACGGAAAACAGCCGCCATCGCCGACTTCCCGCCGCCCACTGACAAGAAGGCCGTGCGCCGATTTCTGGGCCTGTGCGCCTATTATAGGCGGTTCGTGAAAAACTTCGCCCGCATCGCCGATCCTCTCACTAACCTTACCAAGGCCGACTCGGAGTTCAAGTGGGAAACGCCACAGGAACACGCTTTCCAGGAGCTTAAACATCGCCTCCAGACGCCTCCGTTACTTGCCCATTTCGACGAATCCGCCGAGACAGAAATACATACTGACGCAAGCAGCGTAGGTCTTGGCGCCGTTCTTGTGCAGAGGAGGGCTGATGGACTTGAAAGGTTTATTAGTTACGCCAGCCGATCGCTATCCAAAGCAGAAGCAAATTATTCCACAACAGAAAAGGAGTGCCTCGCCATTATCTGGGCTACGTCGAAATTTCGCCCCTACCTCTACGGCAGGCCCTTCAAAGTTGTGAGCGACCACCACGCCTTGTGTTGGCTAGCCACCTTGACGGACCCTTCAGGTCGCCTCGCACGATGGAGCCTGAGACTTCAAGAATACGACATTACTGTCATTTACAAGTCCGGCAAAAAACACTCCGACGCCGACTGTCTCTCTCGTGCGCCTGTCGACCAACCGCTACCCGACGACCCGGATGACGACTACTTCTTGGGAACGATAACTACAGATGACTTCGCTGAACGACAGCGGGCCGACCCAGAACTTAAGGCTCTAATAGAATACCTCGAAGGCAGGACCGCCGAAGTCCCGAAGGTATTCAAGCGCGCACTTGCGTCGTTCTTCCTACGAAACGGTCTTCTACAAAAGAAAAACTTTTCACCGCTTCGAGCTAAGTACCTCCTTGTGGTGCCTTCAGCTCTGCGACCAGAACTCCTGCAGGCCCTGCACGATGATCCGACGGCAGGGCACCTCGGTGTTTCCCGCACGCTCGCGAGGATACAAGAAAGGTACTACTGGCCACGTCTTACCACCGACGTCACTCGTTATGTGAGGACATGCCGGGACTGTCAGCGACACAAGACACCGCCGACAAGGCCAGCGGGACTTCTGCAGCCAATTGATCCACCTTGCCAACCTTTCCAGCAGATTGGTATGGACCTACTGGGGCCGTTCCCGACGTCGGCTTTCGGAAACAAGTGGATCGTGGTAGCTACCGACTACCTCACCCGCTACGCCGAGACAAAAGCCCTGCCAAAAGGCAGTGCATCCGAGGTAGCTAAGTTCTTCGTCGAAAATATCGTCCTACGTCATGGCGCCCCGGAGGTCCTTATCACCGACAGAGGAACGGCATTCA